AGGTGGCTGGGTGCGCGGGCCGCACGTGACGCCCGCGGAGCCGACGCCGGCCACTTACCAGCAAGCTGTCTACGTTGATGGGGTCGCGACAGCGGCGGCGCACCGTCTCCTCCGCTGGGTCCACCAGGAGGCTGGGCAGTCTCCGCGCCGGCCGCTGTTGGCTCATGGCGCCGGCCGCCCCGCGCTCCTCGCGTCCCGGGGGCTCTCCCGCTCTCCGCCGCCTCGAGCGCCAGGATCCGGGTGCCCGGAACGCAGCGGCTCCGCGGTCGGCTTGGGGGAGAGCGGGAGCTGCTCGGAGAACCCGCCTCGGCCCTCGCCTCCCGAGCCCGAGAGCTCCCGCCGCTGGCCCGAGGGAGGCACGGTGACCCACGGCGTTCAAGACGCCGGGCCCGCCATCTTCCCGCATGCGCAGTGCGCCACCCTCGCGCCTGCCTAACCCGCGCCTTGTGCGCATGCCCGCCGCCCCTCTGAGCATGCGCGCCGGGGTTCTCGCCAGGCGCCCGGCACTCGCAAGACCCGGAGGATGGATTACGCGGAGGGGGTGGCGAGGGAAAAGGAAGACGTGGAACGGATGGTCGGGGAAGGGAACGCAGCAAGAAAAGCACTGATGGGGGAGGGAGAGGAGGAATGGGATGAATAAAGAAAGAAGATGTGTTACTTATCTGCCCCAACTCCTTACGAGGAGAATGGTCAGTATGGGCCGTGAAAAATACTTTTGGACTGGGGATTGAACCCTGGGCCTTCGCTCTGAGCTACATCCCCGTCCTTTTCCTGTTTTTATTTTGATACAGGGTCTCCTTGAGTCACTATTCCGCCAAGGCTGGGTTCTAATTTGCAATCCTCCTGCCTCGGTCTCCTAGAACTTTTTTTTTTTCAAATTTGAAACAGGGTCTCCTTAAGTGACTGAAATGCTTAAGATGACCTCAAACTTGCAGTCCTCCTGCCTCAGTCTCCCCAGGTGCTGGGATAACAGGTGTGTGCCGCCGCGCCAGGCTATGCCAGAGAGGTATTTCTGGAGCACAGATATGACCCGGTCGCCTCTGAAGCCTTGGACCCGTCCAGTGTACTTTTGATCCTGGACCTTGTTAGGATTTTGTCCCTGTACACCGACCTGCTGCTGGTGGGTAGGAGCTGTGTTTACGCTGGCAGGAGCCCCTGACCACTTTATTCATTGTGGCCCACTTGTTGCACTGGTCTCTCTGATGCAGCCACACTGAACACTCAGGGGGCTGATGCAGTAGGATCGCTGTGAGTTCGAGGTCAACCTGGGCTACATAGTGGGACCCCGTCTCACAAAACAAAACAAGCCAGATATGGCGCATGCCTGTCATCCCAGCACTTAGGAGGCTGCGGCAGAAGGATCTCGGTGAGTTCGAGGCCAGCCTGGGCTACATAGTGAGTGCAAGGCCAGGCTGAACTACAGTAGCGGGACCCTGTCTCAAAAAGCCAAACCAAACCAAACCAAACAAAAATTCATGTTCACTTTCCAGGCACTGCGTCGGTGGTCTCTGGCTCTCTCCCTGGAGATGGGGCCCCGGGACTCAGGGAGTCGCTTCCTCAACTGCCCACCAGGGGGCGCCGCTTCCCCGGGGAGCGGCTCAGGGCCGGAGTGCCAGGCTCTGGCACCTGGTAACGCGGTTGCAGGGTGCCGCCGGATTTCAGCCCCTGGCTTCAAACGCGGAGCTGCCACCTGCGGGCCTGGTCTGGGGCGGGTGTGCACCTCCTGCCTGGGCCCGCGCGGCAAGGCCAGCTGACCCTGCGGCTGGGGCCCAGCGGTCGTCTTCCCAAGAGGAGCACAGGGAAGACAGCGCCACTCCCAGCCCCGAGCACGGTGTGCTGCCGGGTCTGGGCAGACGCAGAGCTAACACCGCCCTCGCGAGAGCCGAGCTCGAGCCTTCCCTCCGCTGGGAGAGGCCATTCCTCGCCAGAAAAGTTGGGGAACAGAGAGCACAGCCCGAGTTGGAGTGTAGACATTCGTTCTTTTCTTTTTTCCCCAATTCTGGGGATTGAACCCAGGGGCTTCACAATGAGCTGCATACCCACTCCTTTAAAAAAAAATATTTTGAGACAGTCACTAAGTTGCCCACACTGAGCTCAAACTTCTGATCCTCCTGCCTCAGCCTCCCACAGTTCTGGAATCACGGACGTACACCACCTCATCTGGCCTGGAGAGATTTATTGTGAGAGAATGAACTTTACCCGCAAGCCAGTGAGAAGCCTGTTTGCTATGGAAACAAGTGGCGGGAAAGTAGAACACGACTGGAAACGGCTTGAGGTACACAGACGGGCGCTTCCTGCGGCTTTCCGGCTGTCCACGTGTGTTTCCTGTCCTCCCATTCTCACCAGCAGCACTGACCCCAACTGAGGGCCGAGGGTGGAGTGAAGCCTGCGGTGCCTGCCAGCAAGTGCGAGGCCTGCAGGTGAACTCCTGGTACCAAAAAAGAAAAAAGAAACACACACACACACACACACACACACACACAC